TTACGGGAAAACTTCCATGGAGTATGTGTAACTGAACGTGATGACCATACCTATATACTGAACAGAAACGTTAGGGGTCATGAATATTTGGGGGTATATTTTGTTATAAAAGTTATGCTCAGTACACAACAAACACCCAAACTTATATTCATGATCCCTAACATTTTATATTAAGTATATTTACATCTGTATCTTCAAAGGTTCAGGACAGTTTGTCAAAAATGATAGCAAAAGTCATTTTCTGAGGAAACAATACGTTAAATGCTGAACTTTCTCAGTTGACACCTAGGTGTGAAATTTGGGGATGGGATATTTAGACAATAATAGGGCATCCCTTTGGGAAGTAATTGTGCTTCTTTTCTTGCTGATCTGTTTCTTTTAGAATGCGAGTTAGAATTTCTCCTCGGATTGGAAAAATCAAACCAAGAGAAATTGGCCGAGCAGGTTAATCAAGCCTCAGGTGTATCGATGATCTGATATCTTTCAGTAATGGTCAAATAACCAATTCTCTTCCACTGATTTACCCCAAATGAGCTAGTAATAAAAGAGACAAGTGAAACCACCTCATTTTAGATATATTTAGATCTACGCATAAAGATTCAGAGAGACATAAAGACTACCCACGAGAATAGGGACAAGAGGGATGACCTCAACTTTCCAAAAGTCCACTTTCCCTTTATGTAGAGCAATGTTCCCGCCGCTCCTTCCCCAATCGTCACCACTCGCCCCTTTCCGTAACCTGCAAGAAGACTCGTCCACCTGTCGAATGTTATGCGCGAAAATACGACAAACCAATCAGAATGCGCGTATGATTTCAAGTTCTTCCTCAAAGAATTCCTCAGAAATATTTTTTGATTTTACATATGTCTTGCATCTAAAAATACACTCAAGACACAGTTAAATGTGTTCAATCATACTGTATAATTCCGCATGTCCCGATGTGCTTTAAATTGCATCTGAAATATATATAATATATGGGGAAATATATGTGAACCATTACGCAACGAGTTGACAATTATTTTAGGTATACCCGTTTACGCTAAGACGTCACCCGGTCGCAAAAATGGTCATGAGAGGGGCACGAGTCGCTATTCGGCGTGTCCCGGAATAACACGAGTTGGTCACGAATGCTTCCCTTGGTGTCTACATTTCAAAACTGTTGAGGTACAATCGAACATGCTCTTTCTACGGAGATTTCAAAGAGTCGGTCGTTACAACCTTCAAGGCATCAGCAAAGCTTTCAAAATGTATTATGATAGTCATGTGGAAGATATTTTTAAATTTGACGCACCAGTGACAAAATATTATGTCCCATCTAATTCCTTATTTTGCCTTCCCGTGTTTCATTAGGACAACAATTGCCTTGCCTTTGTATGTATTTGTGGCAGGTGCCACTGGTGGGGCAAGATACGCTGATCTTTTCGCGAACACCTGGTGACATCACTATTTGATAGTGATTCATAAACCCATGCTCATAGTGTGCTCATATAGTGGGAATCATACAATCGACCCTGTTTTAACAGAGATTTCTTATGAACTGGTTTTGTTGCTTTTATTTAGATTGATTAAGAACGTTTTATAATTAGGTCATATTTTTGTATTTAGACGAAGCAAAAATGTATTTGCTTTCATGCTGCACTGTCTATCATTAGCATAGAATATAATTTCTGGTCTGTAAACGATCATATGTATAGACTCCCTACTAATAGTAAACATAGAAGATTTATTGTGAATGAGTGAGTGAGTTGGATTTTCACGTCGCTTTTAACAGTATTCGAGTTATATGGCGGCGTGTCAGCTTATTGTGGGTGGAAAGTGATGCAGTTCTCAGACGTGAAACCCACAAACCTAGAAACACAATCGGGGCGAACCGGAATTCGAACCAACAATCATAGGTTTCTGGCGTGCACAAGGGACGCAACTCTGCACAGTGAATCGCGGCGCCTTAGACGGCTGGGCCACCCGCGCCCCCCAAATATATAAAGATATGTTTTAAAATGTATATGAATAATTGACAGGTGGATAAACACACACACACACGTGAGATTATCATGCAGCTACATAAACTACCGGGGAAAATAAAGTATACACATGAAAATTATACTTGACCCCAAATATTAAAAACCTCTAACTTTACTAGGCTGAAAACAGTCGCCGAAACACTGCAAACTTAAGGTCCAAAATACAGCTGTGATACCCGTATCAAATATGGGACGATCGAATAACCATTTCTTGTTTGTTCGTTTTTATATTGTCTTTAGCCCGGCAGTGTATTATACCTGCCTGGGGACAGAATACCGTACAGCTTGACAAGTATTAATATTAGTGTTGTACGTTTAACGCAGTTTGGAGCATGACTGTACCCATGAGGAGAACCTAACCAGGGTATTGTAAGTCTGGTAAGAGTAACTGCATGTGGGTTTACGCCGCTTTAAACACTATTCATGTGATATCACGACGATGGTTGGTTGGTTGGTTTGTTGTTTAACGCCGCACTCAGCAATATTCCAGCTATATGACGGCGGTCTGTAAATAATCGAGTATGGACCAGACATTCCAGTGAATAATATCATGATCATCGATCCACGCAATTGGGATCGATGACATGTATCAACCAAGTCAGCGAGCCTGACCACCCGATCTTGTTAGTCGCCTTTTACGACAAGCATAGTCGCCTTTTACGGCAAGCATGGGTTGCTGAAGACCTATTCTACCCCGGAATCTTCACGGGTTCACGACGATGGACCCGGAAGTAGTCTTCACAGATTGTGTCATTGTGGAGTATAGAACCGGTCGAGCTGTTAAATATAAATTGTCAATCAAGAGAATAACCAGCCTAGATTTTGTGCCGAAACAGACTCCACATGGCGTAGAGGGCAAATAGCCGTCGAAATTATATGAATGGCCCGCTGAACGTCAGTGGTGACACCAGGTGTTCGCGAAAAGGTTAAGCATGTCCCGCCCTACCGGTAGCACCTGCCATTCTTACAATTTGCATAAAGTAAAGTAAGTATTTATTGCCTGCTGCACAGCAGTACTCCTGCCATGCGACGTCAACATGTAAACAAGCCAGACAATCAAGTGATCGATGAACCAGAAAATCAAATGACACGAGAGTACAATTCCTGATTTTGTTGAAACTAATGAGAACCGTATGTTAATTTTGAATTACGTCTGCGGTGTACAAGTGCTTAACCACTTGGCTACCTCATAGCTGAAATGAGGCTTACCCTGTTTGATAACGGCAAGTTAACCATTGAGAATGGAACGCCATTACCACGTGACCTGCTGCTATTGTCATTCGATTAAAAGCGATAATGGTTTTTTTCGGGAACAGAAAATGAGACCTAAGCACGGATGTTGATCTCCCCCACGACGCCCTCAACGACGATAAGATTACAATAGGTACATATTTGAACAATCGTTAAGAAATAGCAAGTCTATTAAGTTGTGATATGTTCATGTAAACAGATTAAGAACGCTTCTGGTGGAACCGAAATACCAATATTGACAAATGCTTGCCTCATTGAGAACATGCTATTTCCCGACCGCTATCCATTGACGTAGTCATACACGCCTCGTGACCCCGTCCCCTCCCAACCTCCTGAACATGCAGGTAGTTTATTCATCCTGTTGAACAACAACCCTAACAACACACACAGACTCACACATACTACACAGAAAACACACACACACACACTGCACAGAAACACACCATACACACACACACTACACAGAAACACACCACACACACACACACACACACACACACACTACACAGAAACACACAGAGACATACACAAACTAACGCACACACACACAGACACACACACAAACAAACACACGCACACAGACACACATGCCGCACATAAACACAAACACACGCCCTAATCAAGATACACAGACACGCACACACACATAGCACACACACACAAACACGCACAAACACACATCCTAACAAGACACAGACATACACACAAACAAACAAACAAACAAACAAACAAACAAACAAACAAACAAACAAACACACACACACACACACACACACACACACACACACACACACACACACAAAAACAAACAACAAAACACACACACACACCCTCCATCTCCGATACTGGTTTATCCCTATTCCACACCAACACAATATATCTGTTATACAGTAAACTACGGTTATAACAAACTCGAAGGGACCACAAAATGTTTAGTTCGTTATAACCGTAGTTCGTTATAAGCATATATATATATGTATTAACAGGAAACAGTTCGTTATATCCGCCAGTTCGTTATAAGCGTGTTCGTTATAAACGTATAAACGTATAAACAAACCTGCCGTATTCCTCATTTTAACCGCTACCATCCGTTTTAAGCAAGACAGAAAAGGCCTCACTATCTACGGAGTCGATGTGGATCGGGTGGTATTTATGGCCTGGTTATTTGTGTGTCATCGTGCCTCGAAGGCGTGGTTGCGTGTTTATGCTATTAATCACTGGTTTGTCACATTTGATTATCTACATGCCACCGTGTTGTAGGTGGAACAATGCTGATACAATCGTACAAAAATACATTCACTACTCCCCATCCCTTCTAAGTGACCCACCATTGTTAGGGATGGGGCGGGGATATTTTATCGGTCACTGCTTGAAATGAACCGACCAATTCAAATATTTTCACACATCTTTTTAGTACATCCAGCATGTTAATTTTTATTTATATTATTTTTTCTGAAACAATTAAAATAATGATAATAACTATCTCATTAAAATCAGATCTTAGTTCTCGCTACCGCAAAAACAAAGCGATAGCGAGAACTAAGACCACCACCAACAACACCCACCCCACCCCACCCCACGAATGTCGAATGGTCCCTAACGGTGTCCTCTAAGGCAACCCGAGTCTCTGACGGTGATTCCTTACTTTGCCTAGCTACGTATTGTTGTCAAGCTACCGACATCTTGGCCTCTATTGCGATACTAACTGGCCATTCAACAGGTACGCACGAATGGGTTGCGCCCGTAAATAACTCCGTGTAAAAGATTATTCTGTGTACACTAAGAAAAGATATGGAGTTTTTATGTACAGGTGTGTATCTCTACTGGTAGGCCTCAGCGAGCTTCCTTCAGCGTGGACATGAGTAGAGCCCAGGTGTGTTGACAGAGTAACCCATACCTACTTACGTCACTAGGTTGGATTGTTAAAGAAGATTTTCCTAAATCACAGGTGAGATTTTACCTTCTGTACTTCTTAGTTACTGTTTTATTTGAGTATATCTTTAAAGATGGTTTTCATCTGTAATTCAAATAGTTCGGTTGTGTGAAAATGTTTAATAAATTTTCTATATCATTATAATGTTGGAAGTTTCACAATGACTATCTATTTCAGTTCTGAAAATCATTTGTGATTTAAAAGATTATCTGGTTTTCAGCGAATGTCAAATTAAACTAGAATGCAAAAACATTGCAAGTAGATTCACAGATTGGTTTCATGTACTACTTAATAACATAACAGAATAACTATAGTCATATGTGAAAATAGGTTGAGCTTTAACGTCTATTGAGTAGGATATATATTGTCCTTATTATCAGGAAACTGAACTGAAGGGGTGTTGTTTTACGCACAGTCAGCAATATTCCAGCTGCATCATGGCGCTTGTAGGCAATCGAGTCTTGGCCAGGCAAACCATTGGTTGATGGCATGAGCAACGAGCAATGACGTCGCAATGGGATGGCCCCTGGCGGCCATTGTAATCACCCAATCCTCTATTGTCATCTCTCGGGACAAGAACACGATATGGGGGACTATTGTGAACCGGAATTTCAATGCGGCGTCTGTGATGAACTATAGAAAGCGCCATTACCCTGCAAAACTTTAGATAAATGGGCAGGTTGTTTTGATATACTGATGGATAGAAATAAGGGATATATGAAGAGAAAATATTTTTGACATGACTTCACGGACCGCGCGACGTGAAGCTACAAACTCTTAGATATTTATGCAAATTGTGTGAGTGGCGGGTGCTACCGGCCGGGCAGGGCAGGGCATGCTTCCCCTCTTCGCGAACACCTGGTGTCATCACCTACTTTCAGTGATCCATTCATATACTTTTCACCACTGTTTTGCCTTTAACGCCCAATGGAATCTGTATCGGCGGATGACTGAGCGTGGTTGTTCGGTTTGAGTTCGGTCAGTAATATCTGTGTTTCTGGGTAGGGAGCTGAAGCGGTCTCAGTGGAAAGGACCGATCTCCGGGAACGGGGCGCTGTATTTGCTTCAAGTTATGCAATAGCTTCTTTTGATTAGAATGAGTGAGTTGGGTTAAACGTCGCTTTACCGTTATATCATGGCGTGTCACCTTAATGTGGGTTGAAAGCCCGAAGTGATGCAAGTCTCAGGTGTTTACTCGAAACATTATCGGGACCAACAGGGATTCGAACCCACAATCTAAGCTTTTCTGGCGTGCCCTAGGGACGCAGCTCCTAAGACGACTGGGGCACCTGTTCCCTGTTTTTATTAAAAGAAAAACAAAACTGCTTTGTGGAAGGACTTAAGGACTCGGCTGAATATGTGAATGTTTATCTGATTATCTATTTACATCAATGTGAATATGAAACCTTTTATAATGACTTTCTAAGATGATGCCAAAACATGATTCAATGATTTTCTTACGTAAACATAATTTTGACATACTTGAAATACAATATTCACAAATAGCATTGTTTGATAATACAGAAAGTCGAAAGAATACGGCTGTCTTGGGGAAACGCTTTTAATGAAATACATATGATTATAACATTCGGTAAATATACACCTGGTTACATGTTTGAAATAAATATATTCTCGTTATAAAGACTTTCAGAATATGCATGAAAGCATAGCCCAATACCATTTTCTATTTACATTATTCAGATGCCTTTACCAAGTGAATGGTCTCTGTCAAAATGTGAATACTCACGCTACGTGAATGAGAAATATTTCTACGTTCAATGTAGCTATATCCCCCGGCTCATACGGGTGTATTCTCAAACAATTGCCAGGTGCTACAACTGATATATGTCCAAGTCTAGGACTGTGTAGTAAACTCTATGTCTCTAGTGGTTGTCTGAAGACCAGGTAATCATTTTCAATGGCTCTTGACGTGTCAGTGACATTTGTGTACATTCAGTGTGATTTATGTATACATCTACTGCTATGACTGTATAAACAAATAATATTTGCATAAGGTTTAAAGCATGACACATGCTGAAGGTTTAGAAACTTTTTGTTATATGGTTGTCGATATGCAATTTGGATAGGAGTAGTGATGAGCATATGTCTACGGTCATGTGTGGTAGCGGAGGATGGTAGGAATATTTTTACCACTTCTCGAGGTGGGGTGGATGGTGTTATTACTTCTTAAAGATTAGTTTCGAATGGGTAAATGGTAGTTGTTGGAATATGTATATTACCACCGGAATGGGTGGATGATGCGGAGAACTATTCGAGGTATTGCTAATTAGGGTACCTAATCAGGTATTCGGGGTGGATATAAATATATAGTATCCAACATTTCTCCCACGGAGGAAGGATGGTGTGGAATATTTGGTGGGTAATTCTTCAACTAAAACGGGTTGTTGGGCAGAGGAATTCCTTTAAGAAAAAGGGGTTTGGCGGAGACGTATGTGAACAATCAGGAGTGGATTGGTTGATACATTACATCAACCACATGAGGTGGATGAGCGGAGACATGGCTTCATCTACAAGAGGTAGATGTGCGTATGCTTTTGCTTCAACAACAACATGAGGTGGATGAGCGGAAACATGGCTTCATTTACAAGAGGTGGATGTGCGTATGTTTCTGCTTCAACAACAACAAGAGGTGGATGAGTGTATGCATTTGCTTCAACAACAACATGAGGTAGATGAGCGGAGACATGGCTTCATCTACAAGAGGTGGATGGGCGTATGCTTTTGCTTCAACAACAACATGAGGTAGATGAGCGGAGACATGGCTTCATCTACAAGAGGTGGATGGGCGTATGCTTCTGCTTCGACAACAACATGAGGTAGATGAGCGGAGACATGGCTTCATCTACAAGAGGTGGATGGGCGTATGCTTTGCTTCAACAACAACATGAGGTGGATGAGCGGAGACATGGCTTCATTTACAAGAGGTGGATGGGCGTATGCTTTGGCTTCAACAACAACATGAGGTGGATGAGCGGAGACATGGCTTCATCTACAAGAGGTGGATGGGCGTATGCTTTTGCTTTAACAGCAAAAAAAGGTGGATGAGCGGAGACATGGCTTCATCTACAAGAGGTGGATGGGCGTATGCTTTTGCTTCAACAACAACATGAGGTGGATGAGCGTATGCTTTTGCTTCAACAACAACATGAGGTGGGTGAGCGGAGACATGGCTTCATCTACAAGAGGTGGATGGGCGTATGCTTTTGCTTTAACAGCAAAAAAAGGTGGATGAGCGGAGACATGGCTTCATCTACAAGAGGTGGATGGGCGTATGCTTTTGCTTCAACAACAACATGAGGTGGATGAGCGGAGACATGGCTTCATCTACAAGAGGTGGATGGGCGTATGCTTCTGCTTCAACCACAACATGAGGTTGATGAGCGGAGACATGGCTTCATCAACAAGAGGTTGATGGGCGTATGCTTTTGCTTTAACAGCAAAAAAAGGTGGATGAGCGGAGACATGGCTTCATCTACAAGAGGTGGATGGGCGTATGCTTTTGCTTCAACAACAACATGAGGTGGATGAGCGGAGACATGGCTTCATCAACAAGAGGTGGATGGGCGTATGCTTTTGCTTCAACAACAACATGAGGTGGATGAGCGGAGACATTCCTTCAACGAGGGATGGGTGGGCGGATCCAATCCTTCAAAAAGAAGAGATGGATGTTTGAAGATATTATAATTCGATGTCGCTATTAGTTTATTCTACATATAACCAACATTTCTGCTGTCATTGAAACATCGTCATATAAATTCCTTTGTGACGTCATGATCTTCAGGTATGAGTAACAGTACGTTGTATTGACATCACAATGCTACTGACCGCTTCCCAAACACTGAAAACAATTACCTAATTGGCATGATTTAGGCTTGAACATGAACCAGAAATAAGAAATACACTGCACAATGAGAGTTATAGAATATAGTGTTTTACCAATAGCCGTGCATCTATGGCTAAAATTGATACTTTCTAGTTTTGACCAATGAGTACTAATACTACTTCCTGACAAAATCAACAGGTGGCTTTTTTCTCTTTTATGTGATGCAAACATAGTCGCGTCGTTTCTTTCCTTTTTATTTAATGTATTGTTTTTTTCTCACTACAAAGTCGGGCAGATAAAGAGAAAATTGAAGATGAATTGTTTAAATGATGACACAAGCATGACACTTACGTTAAAATTCCTTTTGGAATGTATATCGAGAAAAAAACCGACAGCTCTCTGAAAATCCAAGATTCACGATCTATGCCTTAAAAGGCGACTATGCTTGTCGTAAAAGGCGACTATGCTTGCGGTAAAAGGCGACCATGCTTGTCGTAAAAGGCGACTAACGGGATCGGATGGTTAGGCTCGCTGACTTGGTTGATGCATGTCATCGTATCCCAGTTGCGTAGATCTATGCTCATGATCTCAATCACCAAATTGTCTGGTCCAGACTCAGTTATTTACAAACCGCCATCATATAGCTGGATTATGGCCGTGTGCGGCGATAAAGAAACAACAAACAAAAAACAAAAAACAAAAACCATGCATGTGGTGTCTCGTTATTATTATGTGGTGACAGTGTTCCAACTGTTCCCCCAGCAGTGAATGGTACCCGGAAGGATGAAACGGTAATGTGTCTGTTTACTTTCTAGCGCCTCACAAGGCTGTATACTACTCAGGAAGCTGCACACTGATCCATTGATGTTATGATGATCGAGTGCACACTAATCAACTGACCGATGTTAAAAATGGTGCCCTTTGAGCTTTTCCCTATGTGAAGAACACAATAGAAATGCAATTATCACCATCGTCGTCATCACCATCACCATCACCATCATCATCATCACCGTTATTATTATTATTATTATTTATGGCCCCTACAGATCGAGACAATGGGCAACTGTAGCAGCGGCAGTGGTAGCCTCAGGGAGCTGAGCAGCAAGGAGAAGACGGACATCAGAGAGTCGTGGGCTGAGTTCAACCAGGGTAACGTTGTGGACAACGCTGCTCACCTCTACTACAAGTGAGTTCACCAGAACTCTTCCAGGTTTTAATTCTCTCAAATTAAACGTTTCCTTTGAGAACAGAAGGAATGCATTACCCAGCATAGCTAAGGCGCCGCATTAGATCCTTCAGGCGTGCCAGAAACCTATGTGTGTTGATTCGAATCCTATATCCCCCCTGATAATGTTTCTGGGTTTCTCAGCACCTTAATTGTGCTCCGAGGGTTTCCCAAAAGTGGTACACTCACACCTGCCCCACTTTAGACTCCCATATTAGCTGATACGCCGTGATATAACTGAAATATTGTTCACGGCGGTGTCGGTTAAAACAAACCCATTCACTCATTTCAGACAACTTTACATTTTAGTAATTGTTTCCACAAATCATTTAAGAATGTGAGTACAACCCTTCATAAAGAGAAGGCCAAACCATATGGACGTAGATGTTTCCGCTGGTACAAAATCCTTCAATCGTGTTAACTTTACATGAACAAAATTAATTATTTTATGTACATGTATGAGCAGTTATGAAACATATCACAATCCTTATTTAAATGAAACAAACTAAGCTTCGTTGCTTCTGTTTTAATGTCGAAGAAGTGTTGGACAATTCGCCACGACAACAGTTAATATGGCCACAAAAGAGACAAAATCTAAAGCTGATAAAATGCTAGCGGATCCAAGTATGACTACACAACCACGTATAGCATATTGATATACTAAAAATTAAGAAAAATGTAAAATATGACTTTCGTCTTGATAGACAGGCCTCTTGTACCATATTTTCCCATGTTTTTTCAAGTGAACAATTGACTTGTCCTTGCATGTGTTTGTGACGGGTGCCATTGGTGGTGTAGGTTACGCTCACCTTTTCGCGAACACCTGGTATTGTAACTATTTGATAGTGATTCATAAACACATGCTCATGATATTGTCGGAATTCTTCAATCGTCTCTATCGAGATTTCTATTGAAAGGGTTTTGCCGCATTATTTACAATGGGATATCTGCTAATTATGAATATTTCTGATACCTGCATATGGCATAGAACTAATTTGATTTGTAAATACTCTGACTGTAAATACGACTTTCCAGCTATTGAAAGATAATAAATTCTGAATATATTTTTACAAACCCTGTGAAGTATCGTGCAAACACTATTCAGAACTAGCTCCATGACACTCCCTTAGTTCTTAGCTCCTCATATTTCACCGATGTCAACCGATAGCCTGTACATACAAACAATAACACTGTGGCCACATGAGTTCAAGTCTATGTCCAGATGTCAGTTCATGGAACTAGTTTTGGTCACGCGGATTAAACCCTATCCGGAGGCCATACTAGTCGGGTACATCTACCCGATTTGAAGTCCTATCATACCCGGTCAGTTAAATAGGTTATCTTTGTCATCGACCTTTACGTTACTGGCCCACCACAGAGACACATGGCTGTGCAATACATGTAACATGTTATTATTACTCACCACCAAATAGACAATATAGAATCATATTAGCGTTCGACTGCTTTATTCTAATCCCAGTCAGTCCTGATTGTTTCTTGGTTTAATTTCACCAAAATGGTAAACGTCTAAGACCATTATCATGTCAGGATGACATGCCAAGTTATAGCTGAATACTGTTCCAACGGAGTTAGACCAACTCATTCCGGGGTAGAATAGGTCTTCAGCGACCCATGCTTGCCATAAGAGGCGACTATGCTTGTCGGAAGAGGCGACTAACGGGATCGGGTGGTCAGGCTCGCTGACTTGCTTGATGTATGTCATCGTACCCAATTGCGTAGATCGATGCTCGTGACATCAATCACTGGATTGTCTGGACCAGAAACGATTATTTACAGACCGCGGTCTGTAATATTGATAGCTGGACTATTGATGAGTACAGCGTTAAACAACAAACAAACACACAAAACAAGAAAACACTCACCCGACTGCAGTAAGACTATGTCAAAGTTCAGATATTACACACACGTTTGAATTATCTGAACTGACCGAATTATTTCCTTGTCATGACCCTTTACTTAATATTTTTAATAACATTAGGATTCGATGTGACAACTGCACGGTCGAATAACATTCGGTTCTCTTCCGTACATTCAAAATTCATATCATATACATGTTTCATTCTATAACATTTTCGATCATACTTAATTAAATGCAGGGCTAGATTATGTGTAGATTAAAATGCCGTGTGTGTTAACAATTTACAGAGTATATCCTGAATGCATTTTGAGTCCGATGCGAAAGACACGACGCTAAAATGTAGCCGTCTAATCAAATTCCACTCGTGTGCGAGAGCAATCGTGTGGGAATTTACTGAGGAAATGAGGTGTGAAACGAAGCTGTGGTTGCGAGTGGGTCCATTGTACTTATCACATAGCTCTAGGAGATTTAGATAAAAAAAACAATAGCACATACGGTAGAAATTTCGTATTGGACTTGATCATAGCTAGATTTTCGAAATAACGGTCTCTTACACTCATTCTTATGTACTTGATTATATCAGAATTCCATAATGTAAGAATGCAGATGCAAATGTAAGACAGAAAATAGGCTAGTTGTCAGCCAACTGAGCATGTCCATATGTCCGACACTTGACAATTGACAATAAAACGCCCTTATTCTATATCTTCCTTAACTAATTAAAACATCTTCTTCAGTGATGTCATTTAAACTATTGTCACGGGGATACGTAACCATATCGTATTAAACTAAAATAACAAAATATAGTTCAAGCTTTAAGACATCACCGAAGCATATTTGACCTGATCTACGTGTATATGAACCAGACATGAATATGGTCAGAAAGAGCCTTTGACAGGTATAGTTATCAGTTGTAACCTGTCAATTATACTTATATAGCCAGCCTTTCAATTCCGAGGTATTAATATCGTGATTGGGGCCGAAGCTTTACCTTTTTGCGATATTCTTTATCTACCTATAACAATCAGTAGAACTGGGATTAAGGAACTTCTTAGTGGGGTATCCAGGTAAAATATTTCTGACAGTCGTTCATAGCTTATGCCCATTTTGTAGTCACAAAACTCGCCCCGCCGACTCCTTAACCGTGGCCAATACACTGCTTTGGTTTTGAAGACTTCAATTTCGAATGGCCGTGTTGGGCAATAGATTTGTATGTACTTAGTCCTGAAAGTACTTTTTATTCACGTTTATTATGGAAACGTCAGTCGGTCACATATAAATGTCAATGACCAGGAAGAAAGTATGTGTATTCTTGTGAATGTTAGGCCAGCCATTACGAATAGCTGTAACGTTCCTATGAAATATTGCATGGTTGCATTACTCCAAGGCTGTGTGATCAGCCGTTGTGTTGTCGTGACGCCAATACTGTTACAATTCAAATACGTGGTATTCATCACAACTGTTTTTGTTTTGTTTTGTTTATTTATATTTTTTCCATCATATTTTACATTTCCATATCATACATAGAGTGTACATGGATTTATTGTGACATTATTGGCATGTTCGTAGCATGGACAGATCATATATCATATTTAAACAGAGTTTCTAAATAATACATGCAGAGAATACCAGAAGGCATGAAAACTTGCATCATTACAATTTGAATATGCCATACATCTTTTAATTTCATAATATCGAAGTATTTCTTTTTGAATTAGTAAAAAGATTGGTTTGACTTATTTCTATTCAATGTGTACAGCATAGATTCTGTTACCATAATTAATGCATTGAGTGAATTGTTAGTCTTCTCTTTAAATCCAAACAGTATGTGTTCATTACTAAAATTAACTCTGCCTTCTGTATAGTTTCCAAGCCAATCTGAAAGCTTCGTCCATTGTCCACAACGGTTAGTTTATATACTTAGGACATGTATGACTTTCAGTGTAATAAACCTTGGCGTGGAGACAGGGAAACAAGCATGTACGTCTGCTCAGTTAGGAGATTACACCTACACGTTCATGGTTGCGCAGTTTAACAGCTACACTACTGAATAGTGCATTGCATGTCATACACGTCGGTGAAGGAAATGTTTATTTCTATAAAGGGAAATTGATGATTTTTGAAAAAAGGAAACCCAGCAAAAGAAATTGTCAGATTCACGTGCTCATAAAATGTGATCTGGGCTTTAAGACGAAACACTGACAGGTATGGTAACAGGTGTACAATGTATATGTTACAGTCAATGTGTAAAATATGATTTTACACATTGACTGTAACATTTACACATGTAAGCATAATGTTGGTCATGTTTTGCCACAATTATAACAAGAAACTGTAGGCTGAATGTAGGCTAATGTTCGTCCGTAACACGTGAAAAGCTATTCATGAGGAAAACACCTCTGAAATAATGGTTTGATGTCGGTTTTAGATTGTTCAAAGAGCACCCAGAGGCTAAAGAAATGTTCAAGTTTTCGAAGGACACAGATATATCTGACGAAGAAATGCTGAAGAACAAACAGTTCCGTGGTCATGTCGACGGCGTGGTCGCCGTCATCGGCAGTGCAGTTAATGAGATTGATGACCTCACAGAGGTTGGGAAAGACCTCCAGCACCTTGGGGGGAAACATTACCATTACGGCATTACCATGAAACAATATTCGGTACGTGAAACAATGGCCTTCTTAAGGGACTGGCCATTTATTATTGATAGGGAGAGGGGTGTTGATGGGGGATGGGACGTCCCTACCTATTTCATGTAACACTGTTTCACCCCACCCCACTCCCAATACATGTAACATGACAAGTCCCTAAATAACGTTCAATTTTTTAATTTTTAATTTGAATTAAATAGAACTGTATTATTTTTCCTGCCCCCACCACTCCTCTTCCATAGGTTAATAGTTACTACGTCCAATAGAAAATGTCGATGTTAACAAAAGATAACACAGAACACAAATATTCCTTCAATGTTACTCTCGTTTGGGTCTCGATGGTGGGCTAATCTGGTGATTAAAGCGTCCTCCCGTCACACCGAAGGCTTGGGTGATTCCCCTGTGGTATTACTGGAATATTGCTACTATTGGCGTAAAATCATACTCCCTCACTCTTATTGGTGTAGATGCCATGGTGCTTAGACACGAGTGTATATATATTCTTTATTCCTCCATAGGAAGAGTTACAGACATTTAAATACAGCATTTACAAGTGTACAAGCTTAAGAATAGGCATTCTTGTGTTAAGTCTGTGCCTGCTCACATATCAGAGAATATAATGTTTCTTCACAAGGTTTATATATTTCTTCATTTGGAAGAGACCTTTCACTGCAGCTTTTGCGAAGTTCTGTATTTGCTGGGATTGGGGGCCTACATGCTAGCAGACATCAAACTAACTCTATTTCCTGCTTGTTATGGTGAGCCGCGCAGACCTCCATTTCGAGATATAGAAATGATTGTTGTATTAGTTTGAATGCTCTCTCTCTCTCTCTCTCTCTCTCTCTCACACACACACACACACACACACACACACACACACACACACACTGTTCGAAAACAAATGGTCGATCCCAAGCTTTCAAAGTTAGTGAATATGGTCTTACGCCGCTTTTAAAAAATATTCCAACAACATCACGGCGGGGGACACCAGAAAAGGGGCTTTACACATTGTACACATGGGGGAAATCGAACGCGGGCCGTCGGTGTGAAGAGTGAACGCTTTAACGCCTATGCTACCCCATCGCCCCTTAAACCATCGCCAGTACTAATCACCCTCTTGGGTTGCAGCACGTTGGCCAGTGTCTCCTCTACGCTATTCAGAAGAAGCTGGGGCCCAACTTCACCTCTGACCGCAAGAAAGCCTGGGTGGCGCTGTATGCCGTCGTGGAAACTGCCATGAAGTCAGGCATGGAGGAGGCGAGTAAAAAGAAGTCGCAGGAGCAGACGGCGGCGTGAGGATCTGGACCTGGATGCGGGCTTGGGGTCTACACGAGAGGGTGGGAGTCGGTCATGTAGAAGAGCTGGGAGAGGGTGGGGCAGGGATGGATAATGGGAGCATTTTCAGTATCAGATGATACCCAATCGAAATTATACTACTCAACCTTTGATAAGGGTTGTTCTATTTCTAGATCGACCTACTTATTATGTCATTTTGAAGTATCTCTGTATCCTTACCAAAATATGAGTAGTATACTTCACGGTGTAGCATCTTTATCCCAATCTCGAAACATGTTGTTAATACGACAGCTCTTTTTGGATAATTTGTGATAACATGTAAATGTATATTTAGGGCACAGTTGAAGGCGCTGATGCAGCGAGAGGTCGTCGTTGTTGTCATTCGTACAAGTACAAATATTCCTGACAATGTACACTACCCAATACACTTTACACAAATGTGACACTCGAGTTCCGAGACTTACACAGGCGCCTGGGACGTGGGTTTGTGGGCCTTGTGTGGAGAGTGTAAAGGACCGTTTACGTAAATTGTTCACTACACCAAAATGATAATGGTTCACCGCGTGTATTTGGCTGTGCTCTTTGACAGAGGAAGACTGGCAGTACTTTATCGGTATAAAAAGGAACAGTTATGATAACAATAGCGCACGGCTGTTTGTTCTGGCAACTGTACCTTTATTTAACGAGTGGGTATTGTCACTCGTCCTCTACCCATCACTTAGGAAAGGCATGCAGCACTCAAAGAAACCCTTCTTGGTCCTGTAATCTCCATGTATATATGCGTGTAGCTGCTGTGCTTATTCTCTCGGAAACAATGGTCTCTGCAGAGAGAAAACGTGGAACTTTTACATATTCATTATCTTCTACTCTGTTAAAACCACTACATTGAAAGTTGAAAAATGATGCAAAACCCACCTATCGAACTGAAAACGAAACGTCAAATGAATAAATTTATTTGGTCGGTTCTGTACTTGCATCTTGTGCTTGGTATTGGTAAGAAAAAGAAACAACAGAATCCTTCACATAGATACTTATCATTTATTGAAAATATCTTTGATATATTCCACAAATAATTAGAGGTTGTGAAGACAGGAAGTAACATATATCTGACTGTAGTTGTCATTTACTAAATATAAACATTAGGAGTTACACATATTCCTATACATTGCATTTCAACACGGTGATGTTGTTAATCACCATTGTAATTCTGCCCAACCTGTATCTGACCATTCGTATCGTTAAATTTATACTGTTACCAGCAATTTTATATATCTTGTAATATTCACATCCTTATCTAATTTTTTAAGTGCTACTTAATAAAACATGTATTTTCATCACGGTGTTGAGTACATTCTTTACACACATAGGTTGTATATTGTTCACAATAGTTATTAAATCACAGACATTTTTCGAAATAATAACGAGGACCTCTGTAGTATGTAACAGTGTGATCCTGAGTAACAGAATTCCTGAGTGAGTTAGCTGTGTTTACGCCTCAGACGGTAGGTTACACCAAAGCTTCCTATTTACATTGCTTTGGATTTGTCTTGTTGGAAAGGGGCGGTGGGGTAGCCTAGTGGTTAAAGCGTTCGCCAGTCACGCCGAAGGCCGGGTTCGAGTCCCCATATGAATACAATGTGTGAAGCCCATTTCTGGTGTCCCCCGCCATGATATTGTTGGAAAAAAGCGGTGTAATACCATACCTAGTCACTCATGTAGCAAACAAGTACTAGCACTTGAAAACATGTTAGCCAGCGTTGTGTGGCTCGCCTTTAGTGAACTATGGTTTTACACTGCTTTTAGACGTGCACCACTTTTGTGAAACTTGTAGCATACTGACAATTCAAGGGTCATAATCAGGGATTCGAATCCCGATCATTGGATAGTGGATAGAGGACTTCACACTAAACATTGAGTCGCCTGACACCACTCATACACGAGTTCTTGTATGAATGCCCCTGAGGTGTCCTGTGGTGAAATGTGTTCCCAACAACCCATTGCTGGTTGAAAGAGGTGGGGTCAGCGGGTTAGTTTTGGTCCCGAGCGACTCATGCTGGCCATAAGAGTGAGTGAGTATGGTTTTACGCCGCTTTTAGCAATATTCCAGCAATATCACGGGGTACCAGAAATGAGTGAGTTGGGTTTAACGCCGTTTTTAACAGTATTCCAGTTATATGACGGCGTGTCAGGTTAATGTGGGAGGAAAGCTCGAAGTGATGCAGGTCTTAGTACGTTTACCACTTCGGTGAAACCCACGAGCACGGGTATGGTGCTGTCAAACCTAGAAACATAATCAGGGCGAACCGGGATTCGAACCCACGATCATAGGTTTCTGGCGTGCCCAAGGGACGCGACTCTGCACAACGAATCACGGCGCCTCAGGAGACGACTGGGCCACCCGTGCCCCCTCCTCCAGTAAGAAATGTTACACTGAGGATACTCATTATGGAGTAGAAGCCTTCATAACACCCTTCACGGCCTTTATTTTATCCATTCAAAAAGATTCCATGAATTATCCTGATATATCTTCCAGTAAATTTAACACATCAATTAACATTACCCAAATAAACGATCATTGTGAAACAGCTTTAAAATAGTCCTGCGCAACGACTCTGAAATATTATATCTTTAGCTGACTATCTGTAATAACTGAGCCCTGATTTGGACCAAGACCTGATTTGAACTGATCACAAGTGTCACAAGTGAGATTTCGGAGTCATGTGTGTTTTGAGGAACGTCAGTATCTCTCGCCATGCGTCCTCCTGGGCCGGCAGGTGATACTCTTCCTCCCCGCCCCACAGGTGAGTGACGTCTGCAATACAAGGGAGATAAGTCGAGTTAAGCGGGACAATTCGTAAACATATGAATGCATATAATCAAATATTACTGCTCAACAAACTTGGGGTGAATCCCGCTTTATGGGCCTGTTTCACGTGCTAAGGAAGAAACAGAAATTGCGGTAGTGTGTGACGCTGTGCATGTGGAATTCATGCTATCCGTGTATTCTTCAATGAGCAACCTCACCTGGCCCGCGAGCAAACCTTATTCCCCTGCTATAGACTGCACAAATTATGTCGAACCGCGGGTTCGATTGCCATTACTTATCTTGAGCAGTAGCACTTTTGTGTTTTACATAATCTAGCATAGTTTTCCGATGCATGTGTGTATATGTTCATGGTTAAAGCGTCACGCTGAAGACCTGGGTTCGATTCCTCGCATGAGGACAATTTGTGAAGCCCATTTCCGGTGTCCCCCGTCGTGATGGTGCTGGAATATTGCACCATCGAAAAACCATACTCACTCACTCTATATGCGCCTGTGTCAGCTCAAATGCATGTTTGTTTGTTTGTTGTTTGAGGCCACACTCAGCAGTATTCCAGCTATATGACGGCGGTCTGTATATAATCGAGTCTGGATTAGGGAATCCAGTGATTGTCATCACGCATCGATCCACGCAATTGGGACACGATCAACCAAGTCACCCGATTCGTTAGTCCCCTCTTGCGACAAGCATATCTACATGTATATGGGCGGCACGTGATGCAGTTCTTCATTTTGGTGAAACCCATGTGCACGAGCATAAAGCTGACAAAATCTAGAAAACCAATCAGGACGAATCTGGGAACCGAACCCACGATCATAGGTTCCTGGCATCCCTGCGGGACGCAACTCTGTACAGTTAACTGCATGCCGTGTCTTAGACAAATAGGCCACCATTGCCCCCACTCATTAGGAGAGCAAAAAAGAGAATATCACAATATATCACATTTGATTTCATCCTCAGTGCAATATGCAGTGATACTGTAATATTTAAATATCTGAAGTATTGATCAGTAACTACCATGACAATATTGAAAATACTCTGTAAAGTGGCTAATTTCAAGAAACGTTACATCAGAGTTCAAAATGTAATAAAAAGTTCATGTTATGGATAGTATCAGTTGACAGAAAGTTTCAGAAGTTGGTGGATTGATAGGATAATTGGCGAAACCTATCCTTGACTGGCCCTATCTGTTACAAGTTAATAACACACTGAGTTCATCTTCCTCATAGTTGAGGCCTCTTGGGATAACAATAACAAATAGTTGGTTATATGGAGCTTTTTTATGGCGGCCACACCCAAATGCAAGTCTACGGTTATTACCACGAAACAAAGTAATGATTATCCATCGATAAAGACGAGGGTCACTGGGTATATGGGATTCAGCATTTTAGTACAGACCCGAACCGAGAACAGTACATGTATTTATTGAAAGAAGCCGTCATAAAATATCTGTCTGGAGACTGCCATGCCCGTTGAAATGCAACCAATATTTTGATTCCACCATCCAAATTTAAATTTAAATAATATTACTCTAAGTCTTATATGAGTTGCCAATGTAGTTCTACCATTATGGTCAAGAGAGTAAATCATGTTGCTTGGTGATTGAGTCTGTTCTGTTGAACCGGTTCAACAAGTAACCTTAAGTGCCAATCCAAAAGTATTTTAATAGAATAATCAGATTTACAGCACAAATATATACTCTACGGTTGTGACCCATCACGAAAAGCCACGTGACAAGTGCTTGTCTAAATAGGCACACAGTCCTAATTAATACGCTAACACAATCTGAAAACGTTTCCACTAGACTCGACCCCCTTGAGATGTGATTATTTGTAACCAATCCGGAAAGAAAGTGTTAGACACGTAGGGTTAATATGTACTTACTAAGTATTTTGTTATATGACGCCTTGCATAGTGGAGAATATGGCGGCTCAATCAGGTGACCTGCCCCCGGGTAGTATACAAACCGGAAGTTCGTCTTCTTATCACGTGGTACAACTTCTTCAAGGTCATGCTGCCACTGAGCGTCAACACACAGATCTTCTTCCCCAACCACTATCAAAGTCTTAACATCTCGCCGCCAAATCTATAACAAGACCGGTTATTAAATGTTATGCATATGGATCAAATTTTATTCGATTCGTACTTACAAAAAGCGACAAAAAACATTTCTAAAGGCATAAGAAGTCTCCACTAAAACCATTAAGGAATAAGAATTCAACATCAGCATGAGAGTCCATTGTACGATTCCGACTAAATCACAAGCATGTGTTTATGAATCACTATCACATAGTGATGACACCAGGGTTTGAAAAGGTAAGCGTATCCTGCTCAACTGATGGCACCCGTCACAAACACATGCAAAGACAAGCCAAATGTTCCACTGAAAAAAAACCCGGAACATATGGTACAAGTTGAAATAGGGAATTTCATAGGACATAATTTTTGTCACATCCATCAAATGCCCTCTACATGCAAACCATAAAAACTTTGGAAAGTTTTGCTGAGGTCTTGAATGTTGTAAACTTGATCAAACAACACACTTCTGCATGAGGGTGCCCTGTCGTAATAAAACTATGAAGCAAGACGTATTAAGTACATCTTCAACAAACATGACTTTCTCATGCTAATGTTGAACCAAATACAGTGACGTGCGTTTTAAAGTGGCGCTAGGTTCCGGACAATTACAATTCCTAGCAAGTTTCATTCAAGTTCCTCAAAACCTCTTTGAGTGCTAATGTTTTTGTCCGTCATAAGTTGAGATCTAATACAATCTAATGATAACTGGTATTATATAAAGACTATGTCTCACACATGACACTCATTACAGATCTGACCGCCTGCGTGGTGTAGTGGATAAGGCGTCTGCCCGGAGAACGGTGGTTCGATCCCCTGGCCGCGTCATACCAATAGACGTTAAAAGATCGTACTTGGTGTACCCAGTCTGACGTTAGGAATAAGGGACTAAAACAAGGACTGGTCGTCAGTTTACTTGGTCTGAGTGGGGTATCCATGTTAAACTACGGCATGGCCTCATTGTTGGCTGGCACTATAAACCGGCATTAGTCCGGACTACTTCAAGCAGACACACACGCACCCACGTGCATGCACTTTGCTTTATAGTGCAATAATCTTTAACGAGACCCACCCCATTAAAGGTCTAGATCTTTGCCTCTGTTTAACACTGTTTGTACCAGATTGGTGGCTTGGTGGCTACGCTCGGACCAGTTGACAATCCTATCAAGTTTGATTCAAATCCTTGAATACCACTTTGCCTGCACAAATTGTTTGAGGGGCGGTGTAGTAGCCTAGTGGTTAACGCGTTAGCTCGTCACATTGAAGACCACGATTCCCCACATGGGTACAGTGTGTGAAGCCTATTTCTGGTGTTCTCCGCCCTGATATGGGAATACTGCAAAAAGCGGCGTAAAAACCATACTCACTCCAACTGTGTGATGATCATGATTCTAACACTGTCACACGCATCAATAATAACTATGCATACATGTACGTCTGGACCTCGCTGACGTGGTTGATGCATGTCATCGATCCCAATTGCGTGGATCGATGTTCATGATGTAATTCGTTGGATTGCCTGGTCCAGACTCGATTATTTACAGACCGCCGTCATATAGCTGGAATATTGCTGAGTGCGGCGTAAAACAACAAACCAAACCAAAAAACAACAACGTCCGGACCTACATTGGACATGATCCCCAGACTGTGGAGCATTGCCGCTCTCAAAGGAAAAGCCTTGTTCGAAAGTCGGTCGGGGTCAAAACCGTAGCCAACATCTTTTTAAAACTCGAAAAAGCTACTGTTTTGATCCCAATGGGCTTTCGTAACCTCGTGATGAATGGTTGATTTTGTGAAAAAAATGTTGCTTTAGGTTGCTAAAACAAGAACATTACTTGAATGAAATAAATGTGAGTAGATAATTAAGCATTACCGGTATAATATGATCCTTAATGTTGTATTCTTTAAACGCATCTTTCTGCATCACGCCTTCGTCAGTGAATGTGCACTTTGCCACGTCGAAACTATGAAGAAAAAGATATAATTATGATCATGACAGACGTGAGGTTCCAGAGAAGTTTATCTAAATTGTTTGCAAATTCGTGAAAATTGTCACTAGGGAGTGATTCGTATATCCCCCAGGAAGTTTGTGCCACTTGTAAAGTTGACAAGTACAGCGATCGGCATCGCTACTGTCATGTATTTGACCATCTTCCAGACTTGTATAGTCAGTTAACTCCCTTGCCTCAGGAACCTCCGGAACATGGTATATGACATCACTGGTCATAGAGTGTGTGAGTATGGTTTTACGCCGCTTTTAGCAATATTCCAGCAAATATCATGGCAGGGGACACCAGAAATGGGTTTCACACATTGTACCCATGTGTGGAATCGAACCCGGGTCTTCGATGTGACGAGCGAACGCTTTAACCACTAGGCTACCCGACCGCCCCCACTGATCATAGAGGGGACGCAGTCTAATTAAAGCCTGGCGTCTTTCACTAGTCTTTCCTTACTGGGTCCCGGGCACTTTAATGTCATCAATGTAAATATCCTCGGTGAGCATCAAGAAGGGGTTGCCGTTTGTGCTTACCAACACCTTCACCTGGAAAATAAATTAGTGTTTGTCATATTTTGTACTGAGAAAAGATGTTACGACTTATTAACTTAGCTGGTGATGTAATGGCATCATATTCCAATGTATTTCCTCACGCGAGAAATCGAGTGGCCGTGTGTCGTTTCCGTGCGATCATCGATTGGACATATATGTCATAATTCTTTTATCGTTTATGAGTGGCAGTTATGAGCACCTAGTTTGACATGGAAAATAATATATTCCTACGAAAACATATTTGACGCCGCATACTTCGAATCAACTTTGGACAACTTACACCAGTTGTACAACGTGAGCATTGTGTGCAACCTTCGAGGTACGATGACACGCAATTAACCGAGCCACCTAGTCTAATCACCGGATCAAATTTAGCCGCTTCTTACACCAAGCAGATCCAAAAGTGGAAATATACGTATGACTCATGTTTGCTTCATGTTTGCATTGTTATTGTGACTCATTTTAGAATAATTTTGAATGTTCTTATTGACATTGAAAATAACAAACACTTATCACATCTCAAGTGAAAATAATTAAAACGTATCACCATCTCAACATTTTTACATAACATCTCAAGTGAAAATAACTACAACGTATAACCATCTCCACATTTTTACATAACATCTCAAGTGAAAATACTAAAACGTATAACCATCTCCATATTTTTACATAACATCTCAAGTGAAAATACTAAAACGTAGAACCATCTCCATATTTTTACATAATATCTCAAGTGAAAATACTAAAACGTATAACCATCTCCATATTTTTACATAATATCTCAAGTGAAAATACTAAAACGTACCACCAACCCCACATTTTTACATAACATCTCAAGTGAAACTCATCCCTTTACTATGTCTCAGGCTGAATAATTTCATCATCTGCAGCTACTTACATGAGGTGAAAGTGTTGAGGTCATGATGCACAGGCTACCCCCAATACAGTGCCCGATCATCCCGACGCCACCGGGGGCAACCTCAGACTGACGAGCAAACCATTCAACGGCTCTCTGAAGTTTCAAATGGAGTATGAACACATTATAATTTGAACTTTACATGAAATACGGCTTACCCATTGGACAAGAGGACGGTCACATGACAACGAAAGTGACATTTTGACGTTCATGCGTTTTTCAAGCCACTGTATTCATGAAATGACGTAAACACTGACGGACTACTTCCACATTTCTGGGGAAACCCAAGAGAATTCCATGAGAAATATAAAAGCGTTGTTTCTGGTCATTTAGACCCTTTGATATTTAATTCAGCGTTTTAGAATACATCGGAAAAAGTCGGAGAGTTTGACTACATACCCGTGCACAAATATCCTCGCAACGACCTATGGCGTTTAAGCTCTGATTCATGTTTGTTTGTAGTTGAACGAAGCAGTCAAGCATATTCCAGCGGCATGTAAAAAGTCGACTCTGGACCATACAAACCAATCACTAATATAATGAGGAATGTCCCTCGCTGACCCACTGTTTCATTTAGTCGCCTCGTATGACAAGTGAGTGAGTTGGGTTTAACGCAGCTTTTAACAGTATTCCAGTTATATCACGGCGTGTCAGCTTAACGTGGGAGGAAAGCCCGAAGAGATGCAGGTCTCAGACGTTTACCACTTCGGTGAAACCCACGAGCACGGGTATGGTGCTGACAAACCTAGAAACATGATTGGTGCGAACCGGGATTCGAACCCACAATCATAGGTTTCTGGTGTGCCCAAGGGACGCAACTCTGCACAACGAATCGCGGCGCCTTAGACGACTGGGCTACCCGTGCCCCCCCCCCCCCCCCCCCCGGTCTGACAAGAGGTTAAGCTATATTTAACTGTCCATCATCAATATGACAGCAGTGAACATCTTATTGGTAAAATTCAATATTCACTGATCCTTGGGGTGTCAGCACTTTACCTATCTTCGTTGGTTCATCGAAGAAGTAAATGATCTCGACCAGGTTTTGGCTTTTGTGGGACATTTAGCGGCGAGAGTACAACTGAAATACTGTTTAAAGCCAACCCTTTACTCGATCAATATTAATACGTATTGTGGTCCATGGACATCTTCTCATACCCTCGTCGTCATAATATATAAAAGAGACACAAAATTAGAATATCGCTCTTTTGGGGAAATCAGAAATAGAAGCAGCGTACCAGGAAATAAGATATATTCATGTCCTTTGGATTGCTTGGAAGATCTTTATAGGCGATGTAAGCCAGAGAGAAGGCAGCATATCCATGTGATGCCAGGAGCGCCGCTCTGTAGTCCAAGATGCCCCCCGCCATACCAAACACGTCCACAATACCAGGGAACGGACCGTCACCTGGGATAATAGTACAACCATGAACTGAACTAGCCATTCCCTTTCAGCAAAAAACATTTAAATACCTTTCTGTTGCTAACGACTATACTATAGACAATACAGCGTGTTGAATCACAATAACATATTAATGTTCAATGAGGTGACGTGAAATGTGGTTCAAGGTTGTTGAACTTACATAGCGACGTACATGGCTGCTTGTACTAGTCCTGACTTCTGTCGGTTTTATATTGCTAGCCCACTGAGATACCATGTCAGAGTTTAACATGGATACCGCACTCAGACACAGTATACTGACTCCGAGCTTACAAGTCCTTGTTTTATCAGATGCGACCAGGGGACCGAACCATCGACCTTCCGTTTTCCGGGCAGACGGTCTTTCCACCACACCACGGATGTGATCCTTTTAGACGTGGTTGATATTGTCAGATTCAAAATACCAGCAGGGTTACTGACCAATCTCATTAAAATCAGATCTTAGTTCTCGCTATCGCTAAACAAAGATCTGAGGACATCCCATTATGGGTCACGTCAGAACGACCTTTCATCCAACCAATCAGAGCGTCGCTTACCAGATCATGAAAGTGACAGTCGGAATGTGTTTTCTAATCATGCAACCACGAAATATTTAACACGGGGTAATCCGAACGACAGTTACGGGTTTTATGATTATATCCATACAGTCTAGGCCATCTATAAGCCATTCTAGAACGTTCTTCTTATCAGTTTTAATTTTATTAATCGAGAATACGTCAAAATATGTTTCGAAGCGTAGTCGCCAGTTTGAAACTAGTGTCGTAAAGCTCGAGAAAGCTGCCTTATGATTGGCTAATGTCGATTTCTTGTCAGTCATTTCATTGGTCGGTCAAAATTCGCGAAAGGTCGTTCTGACGTGACCCGTAATTGGATGTCCTCAGATCATTGTTTAGCGGTAGCGAAAACTAAGATCTGATTTTAATGAGATTGGGTTCCTGACCTTCTAAATCAAGTAGCCCTTTGAATACTTCACCCGCCAAGGGCAGAGAGATAACGTTTGTGTCCAGCGACCTATACAAAACAAAGTTACACGTACCTGGTGGTAAAAGCAGCGCCCCGTGGATTCCGTCTTCTTCAATAAGAATTTTCTTGACGCCGGGTCTCATGTACCATCGTTTGAATGACGTCATAGCGAGAGCTGAGTGTGACTGCACATATTCTCGAGCCAGGGGTGCAAATTCCCTGTGGCCTTCGTGTACGGACAGTGTGACGTCATACGGTGTAGTGACATCTAGTTTTAATAATCTGGATGTCCCAAACGGTTCCCGTGTGGTTGTGAATAAGCCCATTGGTTGTAAACCTGAACATATGGATTTCATATGAAACTGTTACGTTAGTATCATCATCTGAGATCAACTGGGGTTCGGTCTCACTTGGTTAATGCATTATAGAGAGAGTTTATCATCGCGCAGCAATTTGGAAGGTACACCAAGTAATGTGTAAATAATCGATTCTGGGCCAGACTCACAAATTGTTTATAGTATAAACCCTGATTTATGACATCAGACAAAATGACGCACAATCTGCACAGTCTGGTTCTCTCGGCATGTAGCGCAGGCTACAATCTGCGACGCCAAATCACAGATAAAGGAAGAATCATCTGATTGATTGTTTTTTTTGTTGTTGTTTTTTTTTTTTTTTTTTTTTTTTTTTTTGGGGGGGGGGGGGATGATGTAGGTTGATCTAAATATATAGCTACAAGAAGTATCCTTCACCTCAGTGGGTTTTTTTCAACTATTCGCGGAGGTCTGTAAATAATCGAGTCTGGATCAGGCAAACCAGTGATTGAAAACATGAACCATGCCAACGGGGTATTGTGACAGCCAATCATATAGCCTGACCGTCAAATGTTGTCTCATATGACAAGCATGGCACACAGGGGCCCAACACTAACCCAAATGCACAAAGGGGATATAGTTTTTGTGATTAAATTCGTTGCACTGTTGGCTGGCGCAGCATATTGAGCGGTTCTTGCTTAATGTGGTCAATATATATTCAGATGCGCATGCGTAGCGTCCTAAATTACAAATGTCAACACACATGAAAACATATTTACACTTCGAAAGCAGTTTTTGGCGAATCATTTATAAGAAACTGTTCTGTTTGTATGACTTTTGGTGAGGGGAAGTGTACTCCACGAACACATTTCACGTACAGCCCTATTTGTTTTCATTCGATACTGAGGACCAAAGAGTGACCAAGACTTTGACCAACCTGAGTAAGTTCCTCCGAGACTATGGTGGACAAAGGTGTCAACATGGCCGTGGTCATCCGCCACGAAGTGAGCGCAGGATGCGAAGTTCTTGTTGTTTTCAACCAACGTCGACAGCAAGGTAACCTTCTGATTTCTGTGAAGACCGTTGACGGTCACACGTACTTTCTCATCCACAAGTACTTCCGACTGGCTAACATGAAGCGACGGACCGGCCATTGTGGTCAGCGAGTGTCTGAATGCCACGACAACTGATGTCCTCCTTTCTATGTTGATAAACGATTTTATGAAACTGTGGACGATTAGCTTGCGGAGCGCCATGCTTCATCCCGCCAGAAGTCTGGCTTCTGAAAATCAGTGGAAACAGTTTATCATTCCATGATTTAGAAAGTATAACCTGTGTTCAACTTGATACGATTCAGCTCGGACTTCAAGACAGTCATCCCTAATGTACATACTTATGCTATTAGCATGTGCCATGCGTAGTTCACATAATTACAGATGGCTGTTTGGGCCATGAGACAGCCTCGAAGACCCCAACCCCGCACACACACTTATATTGTCAGGGTATTTGAACATATTTTTTAATTCTTGGAAAAACATAGTGATACATATGGTACGGGTTCGACGCAAGCGAGGATTCGACACGAGTTCCAGACACCGGGGATCAACTGCACTGGCAAAGACAGCAGCAGCACATTCACCGCCTTTGCCCCCAAGCAAGCCAAGTATGATCATATCATACTTCAAATTCAAAATCATTACATCCAGACCTTGACCTAAATCGAGACGTCATGTACATGTACATGTGAGTGAGTATGGTTTTACGCCGCTTTTAGCAATATTCCAGCAGTATTATAGACGGGGACACCAGAAATGGGCTTCACACATTGTATCCATGTGGGGAATCGAACCCGGGTCTTCGGCGCGACGAGCGAATGCTTTTACCACTTGGCAACCTCTCTGCCCTCGGATTTTACAAGTAAAAGTGCATATCCACATTCAAACAAGCAAGGGGCAGCGGGGTAGCCTTGTGGTTAAAACCTTCGTTAGTCAAACCGCCGAAACGCATGGGTTAGATTTCCCACATTGGTTCAATATGTGAAGCCCATTTTTGGTGTCCCCCGCTGTGGTTTTGAAGGAAAACACTCACTCATTGACTCAAATTCTTCAGTATAAGTGATTTGGGATTTGGGGTTCGTGGGAAGCAAACCCAAAAGGGACGAATCAAGTTTTGAAGCAGTGACTTCAAACATATTTTGTTTCCAACAACAATTCCTACGTTCCATCATGTAATTCTATATAACTAGCTGTATTTGCCTTTTATATCATCTGGACCGTTTAAAAAATAACAACTTATATTTAGTTATTCAACAGCCCCCACCCCCACCCCCCACCCCCCTTCTTCTTGTTGTTTAACGCCGTACTGAGAAATAGTCCAGGTATATGACGAAGATCTGTTAATAATCGAGTATGGGCCAGACAATTTAGTGATTTACATCATGAGCATCGATCTACGCAATTGGGATACGATGACATGCATCAACCAAGTCAGAGAGCCTGACTACCCAATCCGTTAGTAGCGGCTGACGACAAGCACAGTCGCCTTTTACGACAAGAATGGGTTGCTGAAGACCTATTCTAGCCCGGATCTTAACGGGTCTAGTGCACAGTAATTACGCAGGAACATCCCGTAGCCATGTGCATCTGTATACATAATGCATACATAATGATATTTACGTAGCCGAGAATAGCGCATGGTGAATGTCTTATTAATGAACATTGCTAGGCTATGTTGTTCAATGATTGTGTTTGTCCAATATCTCACTAATTCAATTGTAATAATTCTATTTACCAAAACGTAAAAAAAATTAATCTTGTTCCAAATTGCTAAATGCATCAATACTAAATATACGGGCTCATCTACTTTTGAGCGGTACAATTCAAGGGACGTAACTCTAACATCGATGAGACGACATAATTTGCAAATATCCCAGGCGGGACTTTGCAACCACAGTGGCAAGATTATTGTGAAAAAGAATCGAAGCTATCTGACGTTATACTAACCGATGTAATGTCGTTCCACCATTCCATCAGAAACAGGAACAAACATATTTCAGTTTTCAAGCCGACAACAGACCATGACCTCGAAAGACATCAAATAATCATGAGAGGAACACCTTGTGATATATTCAGCTGGACTTTGAACGACTGACTCGTTCCGTTCCATCTGGTGACTCAGCACTTTGTTGTTTGTTTTGAACACGTGTAGGACATCACGTTATAGCTAGTATCAATAATACACAACATAACATACCTGATAAAGACACTCAAACACCGATTGATACACAAGTGCGCCGTGGAAGAAGTTCTAAGTTTCTACGGAAGCCCGTCACGGCCAACTGCGTGCACGATATTTTATGAAGCTTCTTACACTTGCCAGAACGATTGTAGGTCGACTTTTGTACGCCACAGTAGACTTACATCTCTGAAATGAACATATATTACGGGAAAACAGTTGTTAAATTATCTTTATGAAAATATAATAAAAAGTAGCCCTGAGACTCTCTTCATCCTGACACTGCAGTAATCTAGACTTGCCAACATTATAGCTTGCTTAGGCTGTATTGGATATATTTGTTTCGGGGACTTCTGTTAACTCGCGATACATGCTTTAAACGATTTTACTTCATGTTCTAAAAATGATCTACAACCCAACTGGGCACTCCGCTACACTGATAGGACTATCCCAGTTCGATTGACGCAGCGATTTACCGAGTTTTCAACGTCATTGAAATATCAATAGTTAAACCTTCATCCTTACAAACATATATCGTATGGATGATACCAAGCTGCCAAGCTACTCCGCGTTTTTGAATGTGTGAGTTAAACAGAAATATAGCGAATCGTGGTGGTTCCTTGAAACACTGCTTCCGATGACCCCTTTATCCCCACAATAAAGAACTGTTCTGATGTATGTATACAGAATCACAATATGACCTTTTATGACACGATCTCATCAACTGTTACAGTGATATCCTTTGACAGATACACTGCCGGGCAAAAGAAAGTATACCCTCTCGTATGATGGAGGCTAAAATGAAACAAATAAGAAATGGCTATTCGATGGTGATGCATATGATACGGTTATCGTGTTTTGCAGTGTTTCGACGATTGTTTTTAACCATGTAACGTTTTGGTCAAATCCATTTTTCAATAGTATACTTTGTTTGGCCCCGCAGCTATGTTTAAAAGCATGGTTAGATGATATAGTACAATTATCACCCCGTGGTAGTGAGAGCTGTTACTGTTTATGTTAATTGTACAGTCAAACATCTGCAACGTATTATATATAGATGGATTTTAATCAAACTCCTGACAGTCGTCTGAGGTGGTGCAATTCGCTGTGTAGAGTTTTGTCCTTTGGATGTGCTAGAAACTAGTGATCGTCGATTCGAATCCAAGATTTGCCCAGATAATGATTTTTGATTTGTCAGCCTCATAATCATGCTTGTAGCATGTTAAGGACGTGCTTGGGGAGGCATTCGATTGTGATGAAATAGGGTAACTCTATGCGCAGTATTTGTTACTAATGCTAACTGTTGATTTTAACACCAGGAGAAAAGGCTTAATTCTCGACGTTTGAAATAGAATGGAAACTATTGTAAACATACAATAAAGACCCATTTGTTCAACGCCTGAATAAAATCAAAAGAACCGTGTGAAGATCGTGAGACAACATTGGGTCCGAAATGTGTGGGCAATCGAGTAGTTTGATTAAGTCTTAATTTTAAATACACTGAAATACATTACAATGTACTGCATTAATAGAAATCCTGTAACCTCCCATGTGCAAAATGATGTCTAAATATTGATACAAGTAGGAGTGCTTGCATAGTCATTCAGGCAGTGAGCTTACCAATAGACGTTTTAGTCATGTCTTGCCATTTAAACTGACACCCATGTAAAAGTAAAATGGACTCACCACTAAAGGAAGCTCCTTCACTTGACTGGACAGTCGTAATAAATACACAAACCGCTGTGTCCATGCCACAGCAACCTCAAAGGCGGGTGTTGGTGCCTTAGGGACTATATTATTTAAGAGGTAATTTGTGTCTTAAGGTAAGGTAATTGGGTGGAACAGACCGCCAGTTAGCTCTGTTCGATGATTTTCAATTTATGGCGGCGCTTTTTACAAATTGGATATTAAACACAAATCCGTTACACATGAACCAAATTCAGAATACACTAATGCATATTGTATAATACACGAAACAGGTTCATCGACGTTGGAAGACCCGTGAAGAGCCGGGGTAGAATAGGTCTTCAGCAACCCATGCTTGCCGTAAAAGGCGACTATGCTTGTCATAAAAGGCGACCATCAGGATCGGGTGGTCAGGCTCGCTGACTTGATTGATGCTGGTCATCGATCCCAATTGCGTGGATCGATGCTCATGATATCAATCACTGGATTGTCTGGTCCAGACTCTATTATTTACAGACCGTCGTCATATAGCTGGAATATTACTGAGTGCGGCGTAAACCAACAAACAATCCATCCATCCATCCATCCATCCATAGCATGGAGTACATTTCAAGCATACATTGCCAGTGAGAAGTGTGCTGCTTGGTAAACTTTATTACGATCAAAGCTAAGAACCATCTTTGTCTAACTTTAGACATGTACTGGATACGCCAACGGAGTATTCATATTCGAAAGGCTTTCACTATTATACCAGCTAAAAATATTATGGAAAAGGCACATTCAACACGAATGAAAACGTCACCACATTCAATTGCGTTACATTGCTTAGACACTCTGAAGAATGTCAAGATGTCATAATAGAAACATATTGTCTGAAACCTTGCAATGGTCCCTTAATGTTTGGTTGGTATATATTTTGTATCACAGACAAACAATTGCTATGAAGTATTATTACATGTGCTCACACTGTGTTTCAGCAAATTATGTATTGTAGAATCAAACTTGACTGCAACTTGAGCTATTGTGTGAGTGAATTGTTGCTTAATGTCAGCTATCTTTCTGCTATTTGCAGTTACAAAGGTTTAATTATGAATAATAATGGGCTTATGAAGATGAAACACTGCATTATGCTAGCAGTACATGAAATGTAATTTCAGATCTTCAAGCCCTTTATGATGCATGTCTATTAATGCTGTTTGTTTTCAAATATTTTGTATAGCAAAACACAGATTATATTGACACATGAATATTTGTCCTGCTTTGTTTGGGAATGCATTGGTAAGCTGGGTCCATACATTTTGCTATTATTGCTTACCATTTCTTAAGCATGGATGAAAGGAAAAATGTGAGACGTTATATGCTGATGGAAGTTGTCTCCCCTGCTTAAAACATTTGTAATTCAATATTGAAGACGACATTTTCAATTTTCTAAAATTGGTACCCAATATACACTCTGAGAAGCAATTGCAATTCGTATCCTGAAAATTGGATTGTTATTTATCAGTAATTAATACAGTGCTTTCCTACTGCCAATGTGTCTATTGTTAATACATAACAAATTAAATTAAATTAGATTTGAATTTATAGTACTTCATGTGTTTGTTATTTATGTGGGTTCATTGTATTGCTGCATGTTACTGAATACTGTAATATTGATCTGGTATCATGTTCTCTTTGAAAGTTTTACAGTAGCTATGCTATAGAATATGTGAAAAAAATCAACTATATATCAATTTAATATAACAGTAAAAGAGTTTTTACAATAATTTATTCTGCATGTGGGTATCAAGTCCATTCAGGTAAAATGTTTTACAGTTGCAATTTTGTCAATATTCAAATTGACAATTCAGTCAGGGAAATATTTAAAGAAAAAATCATCCAATTTTGTCTTGCATTTAGTATCCCAGTCATGTTGAAATAAAGAATTTCTAAATGATGATGATACTCCTCATGCCACGAACAAATCACGCCATGTCAGGCCAGCTACAGCCAACTGCATCTGTATTTGGTAGCAGATGTTGTGGTTTGTTTTAAGTCGAAACTGACCATCAGACACATGCAAGTTGTCTAATCTTGATTTGGGATCGCCGCGAATAGCTGCAAAATTGCTGAGGCGGCGTTAAGCAATATTCACTCACTCACTCACTTGATTTGGGAATAGCTGGACATTTTATTTCAAGGAATCCATAGGATGGGTTTCGACTAGGATTATAGATTTTTCTGTCAGGTGATGCTCCAAGCCAGGGACAGATTGGACATATTAACACTTGTATCCTGCATCTGTAAACAAGGAAATATGATTTTTGTCAAATTTAACCTCATGATATTTGATAAAAACCTATTAGTAGATATTTCCCATTTTCAACACATGTCAATTTAGAAAATGAATTTCAGTACAGTGTCGATTAGTAATAAGACATTTTGGGGGGAAAATGGAAACAAGTTGCTACAATCATCTACTTAATTATTTTTAGGTTTACTGAACTAGTTTGAATAATTTGTTTGTGTGATCAAGGTAGAATGTTGGTATTCTCACATCAGCATAGGCTTGGGCTGCAGTTGGCTCACATGCAGGACCATGTCTCATTGGTGCTGTTGTGATCTTCTTTCCTGTTTTCAGGAAGGTGGCATAGTTCTCAAATCCTGAAAGCAGGAGTATAGTTATGAAATAAGTTCAGGAAGATTCCTGTTTATCTGTTAGTTATTGTTTAATGTTTCTTCTAAGCACATTGACATGACAACATATAAAAACAATCAACACAAAATGTTTAAATTTACCTCTTTTTTCTTTATTATTGCACCAGCAACAGATGCAGTTAATCTGGATTGTCTGACTTTGTTTCACTTGGGATAAGCTCACTGTGTCTGAGTGGAGTTCTCAATCTCAGTACTTTGATCATTAGTCAGAAAGAGAGCTTCTAGGTTGACTGTGAATAACTGAGATCTGTTGGAATACTTGAGGGACCAATACTGTTATTGGGTGGAAAGTCTGGAAAGGTTGTGTGACTATCATCATTAATAATGGTACCCTTTGTAAGTCCTTGCAGATACGATAACACACTCCCTTTTGGAATCATGCCAAACTTTGTTAATACTTCAGACTCAGAATTTGGTACAGCAACTGTCAGAAGTAACAGATCCGGCCTAATGTCACTTAGTGAATCAACTAAGTTTTGGATTAGTGGTAGAGGTGAGTGCAAAAGATTGTTGAGGTTAGAATGGACACCTTCAGTGACACGAGTAGGGTTGTCAGTGTCATACCCTTGAACAACGATATCATCTGCCTGAGCTCCCTTTTTTTTT